AGGAGGAGGAGGAGGAGGAGGAGGAGGAGGAGGAGGAGGAGGAGAAGAAGAAGAAGAAGAAGAAGAAGAAGAAGAAGAAGAAGAAGAAGAAGAAGAAGAAGACATGATTGCTGTGTCTACGTTGTCCAGTCCAACAGCACATGGCTGACATCAGCCACTAACTTTGAGGGAAAGGACATTAGTAAGACGCCAGGGAAACAACCTGGGCGGCACAGAAGAGGTAGGGATCAAATGAGTAAAGTAAACTAGGGGCTCAGAAATGAGGCTCTGGGCTATGGACAGAAAGTAGAGTTAGATAATAAAGACAAAGTAAAAGAAAGCCAAATAGAGAAGTTCTGATATGGAAAGAAAAGATCTTAAAAATACTGAAATTTAAAAAATACTGGAGAGATGGCTCAGTGGTTAGGAGGACTGGCTGCTCTTGCAAAGGACCTAGGTTCAATTCCCAGCTCCTATAGGGTGGCTAACAGCCGTCAGGAACTCCAGTTCCAGGGCCTCTGAAGCCCCTTTCTAGCCACCTGGGGCACAACACATACTTGGTACACAGACAAATTCAGGCCAACACCCACACACATAATGTAAAACGGGGGAAAAAATACTAACAGAAGAAAACACAGAGAAAACGCTAGGGGGCGGTTTGTAACAGTGTTCACAGAAGTTCACACTTTCACTTCCAGAATATCAGTTTTCATAATAAGTGTGTATTTTCTATTCAGTAATAAGGAAAAAAGACATATCCATTTTGCATAAATGATACAATGTGAATGGAAAGCTGAATGTTGTAAATACTCTTTCCATCCCAGAACACACACTCTGGAATACTTGAGAAGGATCCATTTTCCCACTGATCTTGCTTCTCACCTGTAACAGTGTCCAGCTGCCTGCTGCTTTCTGCTGTCCACTGCGCCTCCTGCTCCAACTGTGTGATCACTTCTGGCTTAGAAAGCTGGTGCCCTGGGCGAGGGGAAAATGTAGGTCTCACATGTTTATAGGGAACAAAAGTCATTTCCAGAACCTCTTCCAAATCAGGCATGCTGGCTCATCCATTACCCATCATCCCAGCACTCGGGAGGCACAGGGGTTTCCATGAGTTTGAGGCCAGGCTAGGATATGTCTCCAAAAAGAAAAGAGTCAATGTGAACAAAGTCAGTCTCATGCCAGAGGGAAATGAACAGCAGACAAATGTTTGTCTTCAAAACAGGCCAGCATTTAGCTGGGTAGTGGAGACACAGGTAATCCCAGTACTTGGGGGACAGAGGCAGGCTGATCTCTGTGAGTTTGAGGCCAGCCTGTTCTACAAAGGAGTTCCAGGACAGTCAGGGCTATAGAGAGAAACCTTGCTTCCAAACAAACAGATGAAAACAGCATTCTTTCCTGTGGCTTTCATGCCTTTTACCTCCTAAGCAAATAAACTCATTTGAATGGTCTCTCTTGTCCCAACAACTCGGGGCTCACCCAGGGCCACCAGATTCCGGTAGTTCTCCAGCATCACGTCTCGGTAGAGGGTCTTCTGAGCTGGGGTCAGCTGTGCCCACTCCTCTCTGGTGAAGTCCACGGCCACATCCTGGAATGTCAGCGACTCCTGGAACACCAAGCACACCCCTCCTTGCTCACACCTAATTCGACAGCCATCTTTTTAAGGGAAGGGCATTTATTGAGTTATTCCAAATATTTGACCAGTTTCCATAGAAACAATGTCTCGGGGCACCTACATCTCATCAGCTGACACAATACTTTGTTACATTCTAGAATTGTAAGGATAAGCTCAAACAAGTTTTTGAAGATTGCTTTCGTGTGTGTGTCCATGCATGCATACATGTGTATGTTCATGTGTGTCCAGGTGTACTTATGTCCGTGGCAGCGTGCCATTGTATGGCGGTTTCCTCCAAACTGACACCTTCTCTGCAGGAGGGAGGAAGAGGCTCAGGAGACTCAGGAGATGCACAAACCATCATGGGGCTGGAGAGGTGGCTCAGTGGTTAAAAGCACTAGTTGCTTTCCCAGGGATCGTGAGTCCAAGTCCTGGCAACCACATGGTGGCTTAAAACCATCTGTAATGGGATCTGAAGCCCTCTGTTGTCATGCAGACATACAGAACGACAAAGCACACAAAATAAAATAAAAATTCCCCAAACCATCCTATGGCTAGGAGACTAGAAGCCTGGAGACTTCTCTAGGGCCCCTCCCCCACTGTGAACGAGGAGACAAGTGTGGGTGGAGAAGACCACCCAAGTGCAGAGGGAAGTTCCTGGACTGCTGTGCTCCCTTCCAGCTGTGCTCTCTTCCAGCTGTGTTCTCTTCCAGCTGTGCTCCCTTCCAGCTGTGCTCCAGGACCAAGCCTTCCTGAGCTGTCAGCCAGGTCAGAGTGGGTTCTTGACATGGCTGCTTCTGTGTCATCCTTGCTTTTTATAAACAACCCTCATCTAGTCAGGCAGTGGCGGCACACGCCTTTAATCCCAGCCTTCAGGAGGCAGAGGGGGAGATCTCTGAGTTTGCGGCCAGCCATGTCTACAGAGTGAGGTCCAGGAGATCCAGGACTACACAGAGAAACCCTGCCTCAAAAATCCAAAGAAACAAAAACAAAGAAATAACCCCCCTCTGTACTCCTATTAGTAATCCCAATAAAAACACCGGTTCTCCAAGGTGGGCGTCAGTACTCTGTCTCTCTGGGCTGCCGGGGCTTCACTTTAGATGTGTGTTCCATCTCTCCAGGCCGTGTCACATACTATCGTAAAGGTCAGGGGACAACTTCCCACTGTTTCTCAGGCACCGCCACTTTTTCTGTTTCAGACAGGTCCCTCACTGGCCCTGGCACTTCCTAGTAGACTAGACTGGCTGTCCAGTGAGCTCCAAAGATCTGCTTGTATGTGGCTCCTCAGCACTGGGCCGCCATTCCTCGCACGTGTGTATGTAAACTTGTGTGTATATGTGATGCACATGCGTATATACATGCGTATGTTTGTGTGCTTGTGCAGGCATGTACATGTATGCACGGGGAAATGCACATGTGGCCGTGCGAGAGCTTCAGACATCCGTCCCCACAGCGCCTTTTGTTTGCTGCTGCATGCACCAGGCTGGCTGGCCTGAGAGCCCCAGGGGCTCCTCTGTCTCTGCCTCTTCTTGCCCTAGAAACCCTGGGATTACAGATGTGTGCTACCACAGCTGGCTTTCACATGGCTCCAAGGGATCTGAACTCAGGCCCATGTTCCCAGCCCATGCCTGGAACTTTTTTTTTTTTAAACTTTGGTTCTGGTAATCAAACTCAGTCCTCATGCTTGTCAGGAAGGCAGTGTACTGACCGAGATAGCATCCTAGCCATTCTATAATAGATTTTTACCCCAACACTGCTAATTGAACCCAGGGCCTTGTGCATGGTAGGCAAACACTCTTTCCCAGCTTTACAATAGGTTTATAAATAAATTGTTTTTATGTTTTTGGGTGTTTTGCCTGCAAGTTTGTCTGTTTACCATGTGCAGTGCCCACTGAGGCCAGCAGATGGCACTAGATTTCCGGGGACTGTAGTCACAGACAGTAGCTTCCATATAGGTGCTGGGAGTTGAACCCTGGTCCTCTGCAAGAACAAGTGCTCTTGATGGCTGAGCAATTTCTCCCCACAACAATAGCATTTTAGAGGTTTCAGAGATTTACCTGGCACCCTCGTATTTGCAATCCATCATTCACTTCTTCTCTTTCATCTTCTGGGAAGGTAAAGCAGTCTGAGAGGGTATAATTGGGTGAAAGAAAAAACACATTGTTAATAATGTCATTAAAACTGAATTTAAACCTTGGAAGATTCTGCTATAGAAGACAATATACAGAGAAGCCCCAAAGACACAAGCTTAAAAGTTAGACAACTATAACATTGATTTTTCTTTTACTGTTTTCTTTTTTTCTTAAAAAAATATTCATTTTGTGTGCACTGGTGGTGTATGCAGGCCTTTAATTCCAGGACTTGGGAGGCAGAGGCAGGCCGAGCTCTGTGTTTGAGGCCATCCTGGTCTACAGAGGGAGTTCTAGGACAGGCAGGACTATATAAGAAAACCTTGTCTTGAAAAAACAAAAAAATCATGTTATGTGTATGAGTGTTGCCTGCCTGTGTGTACATGCACCATGCATGCGCCTGAAGACCTTACGTCCACTGAAACTATAGCTGTAAATTGTTGTGATCTGCCATGGGGGTCCTGGGGACCAAACCCAGGGTCCTCTGCAACAGTAACAAGTGTCCTTAACTGCTGAGCCATGTCTCCAGCCCCGGGTGATCTCTTTGAGGAGGGTCCTGTGAAGTAGAGTCCGGCCTCAGACTTACTATGTCGTCAAGGAGAACCTTGAACGCCTGATTCCCCTGTCACCACCTCCCAAGTCCCGAGGTCACACCACGCCAGCTCACACTTGCTTGTCCATTACTTTGGGTAACTGTATGGAGGACTTTTTGTGTGGTATAAATATTTACATTGTCTCAGGTGAGAAGTGTAATGGTTTTCAGCCTGTTTAGACACTTGGGGAAATTGGAAGTCATACTAAGGCTCGGCTCCTGTTTTCAGAGATTTTTTAATTGAATTGGTGTGTGCTGGGCCTGGGCAACAGTGTTTTATTTATTTATTTATTTTTAATTATTTTCTGTTCATTTTTGTTTTGTTTTTTTGGAGACAGGGTTTCTTTATGCAGCCTTGGCTTTTCTGGAACTTGCTCTGTAGTCCAGGCTGGCCTCGAACTCACAGATCTGCCTGCCTCTGCCTCCCCAATGCTGGGATTAAAGGGGTGTGACACCACACCCAGCTATGTAAGCCTTTTTTGGCTATGATAGTCCAAATTGTCTTTTGGCAGAGATACAATTTTGGTAAGATACAATTTTAGATTGGGCACCTAGAATGAGTGGTGCCATAGGAAGCAGACAGAATTCAGAAGTCTTGGTCAGAAGAGACGTATGGAGTCCGAAAAGAAAAGGACAACCTGTTCATTAAGACAGAGAACAGCAAGCTGCGGAGACAGGGTTTCTCTGTGTAGCCCTGGCTGTTCTAGAACTTGCTTTGTAGACCAGGCTGGCCTCGAACTCAGTGATCCACCTACCTCTGCCTTCTGCGCGCTGGGATTAAAGGCTTTTTCGGCACCACAGTCTGGTGACATTCTTTAAAATAAAGAAAAAGCACTTTAATTGTCCTTCATTTCCCTCCCTTCCCTCCCCTCACCTCTTTTTTTTGGAGGCAAGATTTGTATAGCCCAGGCTGGCTTTGAACTCTTGGCCATCCTTCTGCCTCAGCCTGTCTAGTGTGGGGACCACAGTCATGAGCTACTGCCATCTCAGGCTTTTAGATGTCTGATTCACAGATTTTAAAAATAGAGGTTGCCAGGCATTTGGGGTACACAGCTTTAATCTCATCACAAGAAGGTGGACCTGCATGAGCTTGAGGTCAGCCTGGTCTACAGAGTGAGCGCTAAGTCAGCAAGAGAGGCCTGTTCCTCCAAAGCAAAAAAGAAACAAACAAAAAGCCAAAGGGCTGTGAATGTTATCAACTTCAAGAAACTTAGTCTTTTCATGTCATTTTCCCAGAATAGAGAACATAGTGTACTTGCCTTATTAATTGAAAGTCTTCAGAAAGATTAGATTTTTTTCCCCTTAGAAATGGGAGAAACCAGGGCCGAGGCTGTAGTTCATTTGGTAGAGCCCTTGCCTAGCATTCATAAAGCCCCGAGTTCCATCTAATAAGCTGGGCTTGGTGGTAAAGACCTGTAATTTTAGCACTCAGGAGGTAGAGGGAGGAGGATTAGGAGAGCAAGGTCATCCTTGGCTACGTAATGAGTTGGAGTCCAGCCTGGGAAATAGTAAGACTGTGCCTCAAAAATGGAGGAGGAGGAAGAAGAAGGGGAGGAAGGGTAAGTTAGTTATTTCAGTAGCAGAGTGAAATGTATGAATTTGCTAATTATCATAAAAGAACAGTCTTTGTCTGCTCACAAAGACACCTGGGAAAACAGTTCTCAAACAGCCAGTGACAGAAATGAAAATGCCATTTCTTTTATTAAAAAGTTTTTAAAATCAGCACATATAAATTATAAACAATAATGGGCATCATTGTGGCATTTTCATGAACTCCTCCCCCAAAGAAACCAAGTACAGCATATCTGTAAAGGGATCTTACTCCCTCTCTCCCTCTCTCCCTCCCTCCCTCCCTCCGTCTCTCCCTCCTTTCTTTCTTTCCTTTCTTTCCTTTCTTTCTTTCTTTCTTTCTTTCTTTCTTTCTTTCTTTCTTTCTT